TTTCTCTCACAATTACTGTAATTAATAAGTGAGCAGAAAAGCAATCGTCTTTAAATGGAAGATATCTGCGAGCGTCTGTGAGTGTGTGTGTGTGCGTTCGTTCGTTCGTGCGTGTACTCGGGCAGGCGCCAGCGCGGGATGGCTGGCTCACTCGCCAGTGCCAGTCGAAACACGAACGGGGGTGGATGTCAAAACTTGAGCTCTCCCATAGGTCTTGAATAGGCTTCCCTCTTTTGTAAAAAGTGCAGGAACACAGGGAAACACTTTAAAGACACTAAAGGGCACACACAACACTGAAAAAGCACTTCACAACAATGCACTGTAAATCCAGGAATATCGTGTTGAGGTACGCGCCGAGAACCACTAGACAGGAGGAGTTGACAAGATGGCGACTCCGAGAGATTTTCTGTGTCCACTCCAATTCTGAATAATGTGATGTCCCAGCTAAACACTGTGCCATGTGGGAGACTCAGATGATCCTTATAATCAGGGGTGAAGGAAACACACTGATGTCAAGTTCGTAAGTTCTATTTCTGGGACAAACACACAAAAGGAGTTAAGACAGGGGAAACAGCGTCCTGTCTTGGAATCTCTCTGGGTATCTCTATCTGCGCATGCGCGTACAGCACGCATGTGCCAAAAGTCTGAACTACACTCAGTGACAAAAGGGAGTATGATTATAACATATAATACAGAGACCTGAATCAATAATGGTAAATAGTACAGTTACATATTACAGCATATTTGTCTCATATATCTACACCGGTAACTATTATTTTAGGTGAGGATAGAATAGGATAAATATTAGTTTTATGTCATATTGAAAGTTTATTATTAAAAAAATATATACAGTGGTCCCTCGGTTAACGAACACAATTCGTTCCAGAAGGTTGTTCGTTGACTGAAAATTTCGTTAACCGAAACCATTGTTTCAATGGGATTTTGGGTAATTGGTTCCAGCTCACCGAAAATTACATACACAGTAAAAATAAATGCAGTAAAGTACACTTACTTTGAAGTGTGTATGTAGACGGCTCCTGGTTGTTGATGATGATGATGGGAATTAGAAGTGGGGGTGGAGGAGAAGGGAGTGGGGGTGGAAGAGAAATCACCCCATGCTTCATGCCGTCATTTCACCCATAAAATTTTAAGTTCACTAGGTGTAATTCAAGATTATTTTCTTTAAATCAACACTGCACTGTACTATATATTTGATGGTTACAAGTGTTCCCTGAAGAATGCAGTGATGGGTAGGGAAACACCGGGTAACACTGAAGTCCGTTTATTATGGATGAGAGAAATACAAGTGGTGACTAGCGTGTGCCATGCACGGCTCACACAGTCAGACTGAGACTGCCTTGCCATATGGCAGCCTCGGGGCAATGTTGCCACATAACACGTGCAGTGTTGCCACGTAATTATATATATAAATGCTACTCGGCACAGTAGCTTATTTACAAGGTTGCTACTTGGCACAGTAGCATAGATACATAACCTACAATATTGTCAATATGTTAAATAAATTTCAGAATGACCAATAATTGTACTGTAAAAATGTAAAAATACTCTGTGTTCAAGAGACCCAGAAGCAAGATGCTTCCTCCACTGAACAGAAATACAGACTGAGGCCTTGCTGGGTTAGTGAAGTGGCTGATTGGCGCATCAAAAACTAGTTCCCTGTACTGCAGTTATGTTAAATATGTGTTAAAATGATTAAAAATTTTAATATAAAACTTGGAAAATTATTGAATAGTACAACCTTCTTGATATTTACTCAAATGGGAACGAATGTAAGCCCTAGAACCTATTTCTGTATTGGTGGACTAATCTTCCAGCTGGTGAGCAAGCCAAAGCATGACGAAACATTTTCGTAAAAATTTCGTTAACCGAATTTTTGTTCGTTAACCGAATTTAATATTCTTATGGAAGGTAATTCATTAACCGAGGGACCACTGTATATACAGTATTACCCCGCCTAACGCGGTTTCACTTAACGCGTTTTATCATATACGCGGTGCCTCGCCAGAGCTGAACTTTCACTTAACACGGATTTTTTCCACATATACGCGGTGAGTGTCCGGCTCGAGACGCTATTTTTAGATTTGCCCCCACCCGCCACCCTGCCTGACTGCCTGTTTTAGCTCATAAAATTCATACAAATTACCCGGCCAGAATATAATTTACATTGCTGGAATTCTTATAATTTGGTGATCATTTTGAATATAAACATCATATATTTTGCATTAGACATACAAATTTTAGATAAAAATTTTTCTCAAATTAACTATGTTATCTTTTGTGCAAAATAAATGACATTTATATTCAAAATATTCCTGGTCTTACAAGGAATCCAGCAATGTCAATTATATTATCCTAACTTTAATCTGAGGTATTATTTAATACTAAATGTTAAAAACTCTGGAAGGGAGGATTGGTGGGGGGTGGGGGGGAGGGTTGGGACTGACCGCGCGGTTGGAAGAGGGGGGGAGGCAAGGTGGGGTACTTTGATTGACAGATAGTGTCGTGAAGATTATTTTTTTTTTATTAACTGAAGATATTTGTTTTAGCTCATAAAATTCATACAAATTACCCGGTCAGAATATAATTTACATTGCTGGAATTCTTATAATTTGGTGATCATTTTGAATATAAACATCATATATTTTGCATTAAACATACAAATCTTAGATAAAAATTTTTCTCTAGGTAACTATGTTATCTTTTGTGCAAAATATATGACATTTATATTCAAAATATTCCTGGTCTTACAAGGAATCCAGCAATGTCAATTGCATTATCCTAACTTTAGTTTGAGGTATTATTTATTAAAATTTAGTGGTTTTCCCCCAAAAATTTCTCTGAGAGGGAAGAGCCGGCAGTGTAGTGTGACAGGGGGAGGGAGTTGAGTCCATTATTTGAATGGACATTAACTTGGCGACTGTATTTCTCTATTTCTCTTAAGTATTAATTGTGTGCATGTACCATCATAAAATTAAGATGTTATTTTTACTACAACATAGGTATGTGCCTTCAAAAAGTGGAGTTTGGGGGTCGGGCCGGTTTCTATTGGAATTAATCCCATATGTTCTGTTGTTCACTTAACGCGGATTTCACTTAACGCGGGACCCTCTGGGTTCAATTGACCGCGTTAAGTGGGGTACAACTGTATATAATTTTTTAATGGTGTTAAAAACCAAATTGACCTTTATTTTTGTGGGAAATTATATTTAAGGAGATGTGGCCCCTTTAATACTCTCAGCAGCAAAACAATTTTCATTGTATTTGGTCAGTCACTGGGAAGCATTTGTCAACAGTTCAAATGCCTCAAATGGCGTCATGGTGTATGGAGCAGATTTATTTATTTATACTGTAACAAGAAGTGTGAAAAAAAAAAATATGAACATTGCCAATCCATTTTTAAGGTGAGAAAGAAGTTGTCATTTGTAGAAAAATATAATGAGTCCTGGTTAACCTGTGATACTGCTCCAGAGTAGTATACAGTATTATTGGTAAAACTTTAGTTTCGGTCATCCATGTATTCAGATATCCAAACTACAGTGGTCCCTCGGTTAACGAGCACAATCCGTTCTAGAAGGCTGCTCGTTAACCGAAAAACTCGATAACCGAAACCATTGTTTCAATGGGTTTTTGGGTAATTGGTTCCAGCTCACCGAAAATTACATACAAATGAAAAATAAATGCAGTAAAGTAAACTTACTTTGAGGTGTACATATAGAAGGCTCCTGGTTGATGATGATGATGGGAATTAGAATGGGGGTGGAGGAGAAGGGAGAAGAGAAGGCATTCGGGTGGAAGAGAAGTCACCCCATGCCGCCATATCACCCATAAAATTTTAGTTCACTTGGTGTAATTCAAGATTATTTTCTTTAAATCAACACTGCACTATGCTATATATTATCAATATGTAAAATATATTTCAAAATGACCAATAATTTGACTGGAAACAGAAAAAAAGCATTTTTGCTGAAGAGAGTCTGAAGCAAGATGTTACCTCCACTGAAAAGACACAGACTGACGCCTGTATGGTGTGTTGACAGGCTGTTTGGCGCGCTAAAAACTAGTTTCCCTGTACTTAAATTGTTAAATAATTGTTAAAATGACTAAAAATTTTAATATAAGACTTTTAAAATTATTGAATAGTACAAACTTCTTGATATTTACTAGAATAGTGAGGAATTTAAGCCCTAGAACCGATTACTGTTTTGGCGGACTTATCCGACAGCTAGTGTGCAAGCGAAAACATGTTGAGGGGCGCTCGTGAGGAATTCGTTAATAGAGGGAATGCTCGTTAACCGAAGTTAATCTTATGGAAGGTAATTCGTTAACCGAAATTTCGTTAACCGAGGCGCTCGTTAACCGAGGGATCACTATGTTTTTCCGACATTTTTTAACATGTTTTGAATTAGATTAGGTTAGGGTGGTTTTGATATGTTTTGAATGATTTTGACCTTCATATCTGTCAAAAATTACTAGTATTTGTGATATTCCCCACCTAAAACCCTATACTGGAGACTAGTACCCAACATACGAACACATCTGAGCTCTCTGACAACACTGGTAACATCAACAATGAATGTAGAAAAAATTCACTGCCTCCCCAACAAATTATTGTGATTTTCTCGGAAATGAATAATTTGCGACGCAAATGCTATAGAAGAAAAGTGTCTTTGAATTGTCTAAACTTCTGAGTACTAAGATTCTCTGGATGATCGAAACTAAAATAATACCATTATTATTAATAATATTTATTATTATTATTATTATTATTATTATTATTATTATTATTATTATTATTATTATTATTACAGGTATTATTATTTTTATTGCAGAGTACTATGTACTGTATGTTGTTATAAGTTTTTCTTGTTAAGTTGCACCTCTTACTACACACAGATTTGTACTCATGTTACTCAGAGAACCACAAACTCTTTGTTTTTCACTGTAATACTGTGTGTTATATTTTTTTTATGTGTTCTCAGGTACTCATTCAACCGAGAGGCTCACTGGTAACATAGAAGATGATCAAGCGACTGCTGTACCTCATTTTCCTTATATCATTATGGATAAGTGGAATGTAAGTTACGATATAATATAGTACTGTACTTTAGTAGTATTTTCAGTGCCATGAGTACAGTCTCTATCTGCAGAATTTTTTTCTCTTGAATTGGCTTAATTCGTACATGTAAATAATTTTGGTAATTGTTTGAGAGTAAATCAAGAAAAAAATTACTTTTCTCAACTGTCGAGTAACACCCACAAGTTATGTCTGACATTAATGTTGTAATCTAAATGATCCATACAAGCTTGAAGTCTCAAATTACATAAACAATATGAAATTTGTAAAAAATTTTATCACATGTATGATAGGATCTCTGATATCACTTGAAAGGGGAACTGCCTGGCTTTAGCCCAGCCAAAAAGAAATATGTCAGTCCGTCCTACATTTTTTTTTATATTCCTTACATAAATAGAAATCTGCATGCTTACAGGGTACTGTTTCCGAGGCATTACAAAATGATTATTTTATGGCTAACTATAAATTCCTCCTTTTTCTGTGCAGTACAGTAGACCCTTGCCATTCGCTATTTCGACGATTCGCGGTAAGCAGATGCTGGCTATGGTGACTAGCTTGCAAGTCTTTTCCTGCAGTGCAACAAATCACCCCATGCAGCATCTCATGTTGTACTCTCAAAACTTCAGTGTTTCTGTGTGAAATGGCCCCTAAAAGACTGCCTAGTGTCAGTGCTAGTGATGCTAGTGGAGTGAAATGTGAAAGGCAGAAGTCAGTGATGACCCTGACAAAGAAAGTTGAATTATTAGATAAGTTAAAAGAGGGGATGAGTGCTGCTGTGGCTGGTCGGTTGCTTGGTATAGGAATACAGTCGTGCACTAAGGAGTCAGTTTCCAGTGTTGGAAGGAGTACTGCATTGCAGACTGCATTACCAACACCAGTGAAGCATTCAATGAGCTGAAACCAGAGACAGTGAATGCTTGTTGGCAAACCTTATGGCCTGACTGTGTGAATAACTTCCAGGGATTTCTGTCTACAGTAAAGGATGTGAATGACATTGTGAGTGTTGTACGTCAATTGGGTGGTGAGGAGTTTGTGGACATGGCTGCTGAAGATGTGGAAGAGCTGATTGATGGGCATGGAGAGGAACTGACAGAAGAGGATTTGGAAGAGTTGGTAAAAAGTGTTGAGGCAGATGAAGAAGAAATTATGGAATTGCAGCAAAAAAGTTGGGGTTTGAACAATTTTGGTGAACTATTCCGATAGGTAAAGATGGTATAGTAGAACGTCAATTTAAAGCGATTTAATTTAAGATTATTGATTTAAAATGACACCCACAATTAAGTACAATGTTTTAATTTAAATCAAATTTTTCCTATTTTGCACGAGTCAATCTGGTGCATCATATTTTAAAATTCGCACTTAATGTTTCTCTGGGCACGCTACACTGTCCTAAGGGCAAAGCTGTACTGTACATGTACTCAAAATAATGTACTAAATGATTACTAAAATTTTTGTCTAGTGCAAACTATAGCATGATTATATTCAAATTAATCACTACCTGTATCTTATAAGAATTCGAGTAATGTAAATTATATTCTCCTCGGTCACTTTTGTGACATTTTATAAACAAAAAACAAAAACTCCATCTAAAGGACATAAATAAACAAATAAGTACTTCACTAGACCTTTGGCGCATTTGTCAAACATGTCACCTCCCCTTTCTCCCTCCCCTCCCATCTTCCCACCCAGGGTTTGGTGGTTTTAGGCTTTAAGTTTTTATCTTATATAATATCTCAGACTAAAGTTAGGTGAATATGATTTGCATTGCTAGAATCCTTGCAAGACCGCGAATAATTTGAATATAAACGTCATATATTTTGCCCAAGAGATTAAAATTTTAGCCCTTTGAGTTCAGTGACATTTTATAAGAGAAAATACTTAGTCACTCTTAAGGACAGATAAATAAATAAGCACTAGACCTTGGCATCAACTGTCACACATATCACCTCACCCTTCCCCCATCTTCCCATCAGCTGATCACTAGTAAACAGACCATTTCACGTCCCATAATTTTAGCTGTGTTAATTTATGAGTGTTTGATTTAACATAATACTACAAAAAACAATGTTTTGTTTATTCTAGGAGATGGGCGGAGGTGCATCTGGGTAGATTCTCAGTCATTATAGTATTTTGTGTTTCTCTCAAGTACCAAACTAAATTGTCCATTGAAACAACACTTCAATTTAGTGTGAATTCGGTTTAAAGCGACCTCTCTTGAAACGTATCTCATGTTATATCGACATTCTACTGTAACTGATTTCATTGTTGACCACGACCCTTCCATAGAACGGAGCCTTAAGATTGTCCGAGGAATCAACCAGGTATTGTTTCCCAACCAGGAAATGTTTATTATTTCTGTGGGGTTGAAATTCATGCCTGTCCATGTGTTGAGGCATTTAGAAAAGGGTAACAAGCTGTGGATATTGTTAGGCACAACGTACATCACCATTTCTGACATTTTCATATTTTTCTTTTAAATTTTATTTTTTTCAATTAGCAAATACTATACCGGTAACTGTTTGAAATATAGTGCCAGTAAAACTCAGCATTTAACATAATTTTTAAATATTTCAATCATAATTTTTTTTTAAATAAAATATTTACAGCGTAATTCAATTTTGTGGCATTTCACATTTTTGGTATGACTTTTTTATAAAAAAAAATCTCAAAAATCTTTTTTGAAGAATACCTCAGCATTAACAACCATGTCTGTAATTACCGGGTAGCTGCCCTCATTGGTCAATATTATCATTCATCTCTAATAAGTGTTTTTTATTTGTTTTCATTATGTATAATTTGTCAAAAAAATATAATGCAAAATAACCTGTAGGAATATAACCCCAACACATAACATTAGACATACCGTATATCTCGGCCTACAAGGCTACGGGGTGTATAAGACGACCCCCAAAATTTCCATTTAAAAAGTAGGTTTTGAGCTCTATTCGCTGTACAAGACCAGTACCCCAAATGTGACACTTACCATTGGGAGCTTACTGACCCAGTAGTCCTTTACCAACCATCCCACTGACCAGTGCTGTTTACACATCCTTGGTTATTTAAAATAAGGCCAATTCACTTCAAGTAATGGCATCAAATGTTACCGGCTGGTGTAGTGTAAACACTAGTGATGTCACTTAAGCGTCTGTTATTTAACTGGAACTAATGTCGGTGTCGAGTAAAATTTTTCCATTTACTTGAAATGGATTTACCGATTTATTTGTTTATTTATTTATTTATAATATACTGTAATATATTAAACACAGTGCAAGTATTTTCTTTAATTTATAAACTTGCCTTGCGACAAAGGGAGGCTATACCCGGTAGGTGAAGTTTACCTGATACATTTATGGTTGCATCATCATTAAGGATCAAACTCCGAATCAGATGACGTGACTTTTTCTTCATTCTCATCCTAAATTTAGCATGAAGAAAACTACCACTGTCGGTAGTTTCAAGAATTATCGCAGTCATTTACTGAATAGTCTTTGTAAAAAAATAAATTTTAATTGAATTATTTATAGGAAATAAGTCTTATGATCAGTAAATGTACTGGTATGCATTACTGGCCATTTCGGACACAAAGACGGTAAAAAATAGCCCTATCTCCCCCGTCTTACAGCGGCCAATGGGAAGCGTCTTGGTAATTAAATTTTGTTTGTTTATTTTCATTTCTTGTCTAATTTATCATGTATCAAAGTAATATTACTAAAAATTGTGTAGGTAGTAGGCAGCTACCAAACAGGGAGATACTACTGCCTGGGAAGATATTGAAAGCATAATGTAATGTCTAATGGTAGACCCTACTTCCATATGTCATCACAAAAATTTTGACCAAATCCCAGGTTGCTGATCTGACTTTCTGCCTCATTTACACACAATTGCAGTTTCAATTGTTTCTCTTACTTTGACAACACAACATACATACATTACAGTATAGTCTGGATTTACGTGGTTTTTGTTTACACGTTTGGTCATTTACGCAGCACCTTGCCAGAACGAAATGTTTTAATTATGCTGTAAATTTCATCATTTACGTGGGTGAAGTATAATTTGTTTATTTACTGAAGATATATATGTTTTTAGCTCATAAAATATTTAATTTACATTGCTGGAAGCCTTACAAGATGGTGATCATTTTAAATATAAACATCCTAAAATTTGCATTACATACAAATTTTAGATGTAATTTAAGAAGATGATGAAAATGAGCAAAAATTTTATCTTTTGTGCAAAATATATGACGTTTACATTCAAAATATTCCCTGTCCTGCAAGGAATCCAGCAATGTCAGTTATATTATCCTAACTTTAGTCTGAGGTACTATTTATTAATAAAAATGTAAATACAGTTGTACCCCACTTAACGCGGTCAATTGAACCCAGAGGGTCCCGCGTTAAGTGAAATCCGCGTTAAGTGAACAACAGAACATATGGGATTAATTCCAATAGAAACCGGCCCGACCCCCAAACTCCACTTTTTGAAGGCACATACCTATGTTGTAGTAAAAATAACATCTTAATTTTATGATGGTACATGCACACAATTAATACTTAAGAGAAATAGAGAAATACAGTCACCAAGTTAATGTCCATTCAAATAATGGACTCAACTCCCTCCCCCTCTCACACTACACAGCCGGCTAACAGATGGTCGGTCGGTCCCTCCCTCCCCCCCCCACCCCCCACCAACCGTCCCAAGGAGATGTGTGGGATAACCTCAAACTAAAGTTAGGAAAATATAATTGACATTGCTGGATTCCTTGTAAGACCAGGAATATTTTGAATATAAATGTCATATATTTTGGACAAAAGATAACAGTTACCTAGAGAAAAATTTTTATCTAAAAATTGTAAGTTTAAAGCAAAATATATGATGTTTATATTCAAAATGATCACCAAATTATAAGAATTCCAGCAATGTAAATTATATTCTGACCGGGTAATTTGTATGAATTTTATGAGCTAAAACAAATATCTTCAGTTAATAAAAAAAAAATA